AACTATTAATATATAATATACTGTAGAAAATTAATAACTATACAGTTAATTTTATTTTCATTTTTTTTTTGTATTGCAAATAATGGTAAAACTTTAATATAAAATATGAATAAATGTAATGAAATATAAGGGTACTCGTTAAAACAATATTCAAAATTGAAAAAAATTTCTATATTTAAAACGACAAGATATTTAGTATATTTAATTAGTTATTATTTTATATTACTTTCAATTTTTGTTATAAATAAAATAGTTTCGTGAAATTTTGCAATTTTAATGTAATATTGTATGAAAATTAGGGACATAAATATGTGTAAATTGAAAATATTCGGTTGATGTTAAACACGTACTGAGAAATATGATGAATACATGTCATAGTTGTATAATTTTTCCAATACTACTAAATTAAACATAGATTTAAAAAGTGGTTGCAATAAAATAGCTATCGAATATATTTTTATTATATTTTACAAATCCAACGCTTTAATTTAAAATTTAATTTAAAATTAAACAGCTTTAAAAATAGAACATTTAAAAGTATAACGACATTCTATATTATTTATTTATCTATCAAAATTTATATATTCTTTCATAACTATACAGAATAAATATAATAATTGTTAATAGTTTTTGAAGACAATGGAAATATATATACATGAATTTTATTGTACATTTATTTGTTAGATTTTATATATTCTTTCCTAACTGTACAGAATAAATATAATTATGAATAATTTTTCAAAAGAATTAACAATTATTATATTTACTATTAATAACTACTAATAGTATTGATTAATCAATTTAAAAGTATTAAAAACCATTAATAATTATTATATTTTTTCTGTACGGTTAAGAAAGGACATGTAAAAAATATAAAAAAATATATATAAGAATATAGAAACTATTGAAAGAAGATAATAGATCAGGGCTACGAACTACTAAAATTGTTTGCTCGCTTCTTGACTTCTCTTTTACCTTACTATCAACAAACACTTTAATTATGATAAACCGATACTCTTATTTGTTTATAGATTCAAACGAAGATAATGATCAAGACGATTGTTATGATGATGATTACGTCGACGATAAAGAATACATTGATGATGCTGATAAGGATGACTATGAAGAGGAGGACGCGGAAGAGAAGGAAGAAAAATACGTGGACAAAGAGGAAGAGGATCAAGTTAAGCATAATAAGAGTACAATATTATTTGATGACAAGCTCGAGGCATTTAAGCAGAGTAATAATAACGACGAAATAATCTTTGAAAGTGATGCGTTGTTTTTCTTGAAGAATGATAAGGACGAATGGAATCATTGCCATACAGGCAATGTCAAAGTAATATTAGACAAGAAGCAACTTGGTAGAACGCGCGTCATTTTTAGAAGCAAAGAGGGGGATCATGTTAGCGATACCCTTGTTTCTGCGGATGCAGGAATTAAGGTAAATTCATAGAATTTGCAAACAGCTATTTAATGAAAAATATTTGCAATAGACTTTCATACAGTTGGTTTCTGGTATGTAGAAGTGTTTTACGCATAAATCTAATAAGAATAACTATTATAACTTCAGCGGCCTCTCAAACTAAATCAAGAAGTATATATTTAAGTAATCCTAGAAAATTATTTTATCGTGTTAACTGAATAATATAAAAACTTACATTTTAAAATGGCATTGATATTGCCATGTAATCATTAGCTTTTATATATAATCTAAACGATTTGTAGTTATAATTTTTGAATTTGCATATATTTTTATGTTTAAATTATTCTTCATTTTACGATAAATATAAAAAAAAGTGAACTATTATTTATTAATCTTTATTACAATTATAACTTAATTTTTAATTTTTTGTTTCATGGCTTTCAGAGTTTAAATTGTGATTTGGAATGGTCGGCTGTAGATAATGCTATAACTCCTGCCAAAAAGCGTATGATACTATTTCATTTTTTTTTTAATAAACCAGCTAATGAAATGTGCGAGTTGTTGACAGGTGTAAGTACACAATACAAAATACACTATTAATATAATAAATTTTGAAGTTATTAATCAGTATCTCATTGTTATTTACAGGCAAGGGAGTATGCAAGAAAATTAAATGTACACGAATAAAGCGTTTTCTGTCATCAACTATGAAAATATATAGTTCAATTTTTAAAAAATTCTTGAATTATTAGTGTATAAAGAAAGTAGAATTTTCATGTATTAATAAAACGAACCTTTTAAACTTAAAACAGATCTTATATAATCGATTAAGATTTTCAAGAAGTGTTTTTCGTGTATTCATATATTTATAGTTACTTTTCCAATTAATAATTATAATTTGTAAATGAATAAAAAGACAATGCAAAAATTTTAGAATCAATTTTTATTTTTTATATTTAGTAATGCTGTTAGTGATTTTCATAAAATGAGCATACAATTGACGCGACCTCAACAATCATTGTAGATGATAAATATTTTAATTGTCTTATATTATTATTTAACGATCCATTTAATGATAATCATTATTCAATTTTATTTACAGAAGATTTAAAAATAAGAATTTGTTTAAATATTTAATGTGTAAACCTCTGTTAAGATTAAATTATATTATAATTAAATGATTCAGTGGAATATATTTAATAAAATAATACTACTAATTTTGTCTTTATTGTTACTAATTTACCTTTATACATACTGTGTATAAACCTTACCATTTTACTTTTATCTTGTATATCTAGTATTTAAGACTAAATATTTTATTTAAAATTGGGCCTTGTACGCTACATAAATCATCTAAAATTCTATAAAAATGCTTTGCATATTAATTTCTTTTATTCATTTTATTTAAACTATGTTAATCTATAAATTCATTAAAATTTTATTTATTATTAAGCTATAAAGTCAATGTTAGTTTTTAAATATAAATTATTTTGTAAAAAAGTAGGGAATAATATTTTGCTCTATAAATTACTCATAATTATAAACTAATTATATCAATATAGTGAACGATTGAATATAAACATTGTATTATAATTATGCTAATTTTATCATTGTTACCTTCAGTTTAGAGGATCCGGTGAAATTCGGAAGAATGACATCCTTTTACAGATAAATCCAAACAAACGATTATATAAAGGAAAGATAAAAAAAAGTACATAAAAAAGGGTAAAGTGATATTATTTAAACCGAATAAAAAATTAAGACAATATAATAATACTGATTGGAATAAATATTTTAAAATAATTTACGATATATAATTAATGACTAATTAATATGCAATATTTATTATATATATATATATATATATATATATATATATATATATATATATATTAATTTTATATAATATATTAATTATAATATATTAATTATATAATAATAAATTAATATAATAAATATATATATACATTTACAGATAGCAAACAATGAAGTGAACTTCTCAGTTATAAGGAAATAAATATATATATTGATTACAATTATAACACATTTCTCATTATACATTGACGGACCGTAATTCACATTATCTTAATTATTTTTTTAGTTTCATTTAAAATGAATTCGTCGTTAATTATTTCTGTAACAGAAAAACGTAGTAAACTATTATTTTATAAAAGATTGTAAATTAGTGAAATATTTAAAGAAAAAAAGTTTAATAAAATTATAAATTTCTTAAGCTGTACAAATAGCAAGAAACAAAGACATTATTTAATTTTTCATAAATAAAAAAATAGATAAGTTAGTATGGTTTCGATTTCAAAATGTATGTTCAATGAAGAATAGATAAAAATAATAATCATAATCAATGACAACACCAATTTAATGATTATTTTTAATTGAGGAAACACAAGTATTACAAACAAAGAATATATATGAAATGATTTCATCAAAATAATAATTATCTATTATTAATTAAATTTTAATGAATTGACTGCCTTTATTTTGAAGTAATTTGTATTCACTGACTTTTTGACGGTTGGTAGCCTGATTAGTTGGCGGTGACGGAGCGGAGGAATAATTATTTAACGATCGAAAATTAAATTTTAATCTTGATATATATATTATTTTATTGAACGCTATACTTCATTGATTTTAGCTAAAAATTTTCCTTTTAAATAGAATATAAACATAATAATTATAAAAAATAAAATGTAAATAGTTTGTCTATTTATTCTGACTTAAATGTTCAGCTTTACATATAAGTTTCATATATTGTTACTTTTTACATATTACTATTGTTTAAGTAGTTTGAACAGTCAATAACTAAGGTCATTAATTAATTTTTTTAATTTTAATATTAAAAATAACTCGTATGATTAATAGATGTTATTCCACATTTAAAATTGATTGAATAAATAATATAATTATTTGTATATATAATTTAATTTAAAAATATGCAAATTAATATTTATTCGTTAGATTAATTATATTATTTACAAAAAATATTAGCATTTATTCATTGTTATTTAGTGTTTCAATTTAATTATGTGATAATGGTTTTAACGTTGGCACTTTGGAATGTATAAATAAATATTTCCTTGAACGTTTATGTAAATAAGATAAATTATAACGCAATATGAAAAGTTAAAATAGAAATTATTTTGAATATAGTTTGAATACGACTTATGACTAGTTTAATAAATATTTGTTTTTATTTATATAAAATTTATGTATCAATTGCTAATTAGAATAATTTTTAAATAAATAGCTTAGTAATTATTAATACAAATATATAAATAAATGTTCAGTAATTTTATTTAATCTAAATGAAATGAATATAATCTTCAGTTGAAAATTTAAAAAGTTAAAAAAGCCGATTTAAGGAAAATAGAATTATAGTTCAACACAGGCTGGCGCGCGCGTGTATGTACATATATGCATGTGTGCACGCATGAGTTGGCACAGTAATGCTGACTTGTTGCTTTTAAAGTTAGCAAGTGCCGTTATGACTTGTATACATACAGTGCTTACTGACATTCGATCGAATAGTTTTGTTGGCTATTGATATTAATATAAATTAATAAATTTTATATAGAATTTACAGATATATATTTATATATAAATTTACATAATATTTTGAAATAAAAATACGACATTTCGTAAAAATGAGTGCTGTTACTAAAGGTATTACAAAATGAAATTTGTCAGTTATATAGTATTTAAGTAGATGTAATTTCAAGAATATTGAAAATTTATCGCAAGTTTATTTTACAGGAATTTTATTAAAATTTAATAAATATTTGATTTATAATATTCATTTAATTCATGGCTTTATTGATAAATTTAAACCTTAAAACATTTTTGACAATATATTTTTCTTATAAGTAAAATTGTTTTTAATTCACCTTGAGTTTTTTTTATAATTTTTAAATAATAAACTTTAATATTTCTTGTATCTTTTACATTTATCGATTTAAATATAACACAGATTCAAGCTTTATGAAATATATATTTAATATAATTATTAATACAAATACTTTAATGTTATTTATTTAATTATTATAAATAACAAAATAATACTATAACTTCTTTAATTAACTATTAATATTTGGAGGAATTTTCATTATTGGTGCAAAACGTACACCATTTGGAAAAATGGGTGGTGTCTTTATGCAGAAAAATATAACAGACTTATCTGTTATTGTATCCAAAGAAGCATTAAAAACTGCTAATGTACAGCCTGAGCAAATTGATAATGTAATATTTGGAAATGTTGCATCTGTAAGTATATCGATACTAATAGCTATATAAAATTATATATTATAGAATTATTCATGTGTAGTTGAATGTTATGAATTCATTAATTCATATTTACAGTCTTAATTTTTTTTATTAATTTCTTAAACCATTTAATTACTTAATTTTGGTATATTTGAAGAGTTCATCATCTGATGGTGCACTTATGCCAAGACACGTATCATTGAAATGCGGAATACCTGTTGAAAAACCAGCTTTTGCAGTTAATCGATTGTGTGGTTCTGGTTTTCAGTCTGTTGTTAGCGGTGCTCAGGTAGAAAGCTTACAAATAATTTCATAAATTCAATTCTTATTGATAAACTATTAAAATTTAATGTTTTTTATTTAATAAATAAAATTTAATTCAATTTTGTAAGTCTATAAAATAAATTATATTTTATTAAATACGATTTTAAGTATATATCATTATTTATATTAAATGTATTCAAATTATTTATATTATAATATTATAAAAAATATATTATACAAGTTTATGTTTTATTAATGAATGATTAAATCATATTATAGAGTATTTTAACTGGAGAAGCAAATATTGTATTAGTTGGTGGTGCTGAAAATATGAGTCAAATGCCTTTTGTTGTACGAGGTATTCGTTTTGGAACCGCTTTGGGTCAAAAATATGAATTTGAAGACTCACTTTGGCAGGGATTATTTGATACATATTGTGGTTTACCAATGGGTATGACTGCTGAAAAACTTGGAGCACAGTTTAAAGTTACTAGAGAAGAAGTGGATAATTTTTCTTTAAGAAGTCACCTTCTGTGGAAAGCTGGTTGGTTTCTTATTTAATTTTTCATTTAAAAATAATATATAAGTAAATATTATTTAAGTGACATTATTTATATTTATAAACATTTTAGCTAATGAGGGTAATTATTTCAAATCTGAAATAGTACCTGTGCCTATAAAAACAAGAAAACAAGAAGTATCTATTGAAGTTGATGAACATCCTAGACCTCAAGCAAAACTTAATGATCTGTCAAAGTTACCTTCCATTTTTAAGAAAGATGGTCTGGTGACTGCAGGATCAGCATCTGTAAGATATTAAAACATGATCATTTAATTAATTTACAAATAAATAATTATTTTTTAATACAAAACAAAAATACAAAATTTTTTAATGGAGTTAGAAAAATATTAGGAAAAATATGTAATATATTTATGTATTTATATGATAAATCTTATCTTTATAAATTAATTTTTGTTTTTATATAGGGTGTTAGTGATGGTGCTGCGGCACTAATTTTAGCTAGTGAAGGAGCTGTCAAAACTCATGGGCTCAAGCCATTGGCACGTTTGGTAGGTTATAGTACTGTTGGTGTGGACCCAAGTATCATGGGAATTGGACCATCTCCTGCAATTAAAAATTTACTTAAAGCTACAGGGAAAACATTAGATGATATAGAACTGGTTGAGGTAAGTCATTAAATTAATATACGATATTTCAAAATCATCCTTAAGCTCAGATTTATATTGTACTGTTTTTATTCTAGATTAATGAAGCTTTTGCAGCACAAACACTTGCATGTGTTAAAGATTTAAATTTGGATCTTAATAAATTAAATGTAAATGGTGGAGCTATTGCTATTGGGCATCCTCTTGGAGCTTCTGGATCTCGAATTACTTCTCTTATTGTTCACGAATTGAGGTCGAATATTACATTAAATTTTATTTAAGTAAAGTTTTTTAAGATAAATTAAGACACAACTTTGTCATTGATTTATCTTAAAATATCTGTGATAATTATAATAATTAAAGATTCTATAATTTAATGTTCATTTTTATTGTTTTTTTTTTCTGTATTTTTAATTGAATTATTTATAATTATAGAAGAAGGAATGCTAGAAAATTTGGAATTGGATCAGCTTGTATTGGTGGCGGTCAAGGAATAGCTGTTATGCTCGAAGCAGTTTGAATAACATTAAGTCTTAAATATTGTAATCATTTTAAATTAAAAGAACTTAGGTTTTCCTTTTAAATATAATTTTTTTTTTATTTATATGTATAAATACATTTTTGGAATATGTTTGAGTTGCACAATTGAATCATTAATTAGTATCATGCAGTGTATAATGATTAAATTAGATAGTAAATATAGTTTATTATAGATTTATACAAAAATATCCACTAATTAGAAAAAAATCATTTGTACAGTCTTATATTTTTGTAATATTGTAAAATTTTAAATAATTTAAATGTCTATAAATAAAACATATATATAAAAAAAACAATGTGATAAAATTAATTTTTAAAATTTTATTAGAAATAATAGAAAGAATTATACATATACATTTTATGTACCAGTAATCTTTCTTCAAATTTCTTTACTTGCCAGAAAGGTAAGTTAATAAACATTTTATCTTAAATAATTTTAATCTTGATACTATTTTTATACTATTTTTCATAAATAAAGATATATAAAACCATAACTTATTATAAAACATTTAATTAAATTTGCTTATTTTATTTTATTCAATATATACATAATGTTAATCAATACAAATATCAATAAAATGTACAAATAAAATAATTTGTGTTTAAATTTTTTATTTGTTTTTTTTTGTTTGCAAATATGACAGTACACTTTTTTTTAATCACAATATTCCTTCATTTAATAGATTTTGTATCACTTTTATCAACCATTTAGTGTACATTAGTGATGACTTCTTTCTAAATAATAGATGATTTTAGTTGTATAATTAATTAACAAATATGCCATACTATTTTACTGTATAAAGAAAATAAAATATATTGATACATGAAAAGTATATACTTTTAGACATTCAATTTAAAAATGGATAAATAACTAACTATTTTGCAAGCCATAATTAACAATAAGTTATAATGCTCTCAAAATATTGACTGTAATGTATGTTGATGGTATAAAGTTTTAAACATTTTATGATAAAAATCATATAATGAACGTCTGAAAGATTCTGCTTAACAATTCAAATTTAAAATTTAAATATATTTAAAATTTGTTTGTTCTTGCATGTTTCATTAATTATTGATTATTTATTTTTAAAATAATTTATGCAGAATATTATTATTTCATAAACTTTGTTTATGTTGTGTAATATTTAAAATAACATTTGAAAAATTACTTAGTAATTATAAAACGTTATAAGTGTAATTACAATAATTAACATTATAGGATTACTTCAAAATTAAAAGATGAATTCTGACATTCGAATTCACATTTAACTAAATAATAATCAACATCTGTTCGTGTCAAAAGTACAAAAGTGCAATATAAAAAATATTTTAACATTTAAGTATTTATCGGTAAATGCTTTACAAACAATTTATTCTCATTTCAATGGCGTGTCGGATAATTTTGTGCTTCCCGTTTGAACTCCACCAGTATATAGAACTAAATTCTCTCTCTTGTAAAAGGGTATAATCTCATCAATGCTTGCAAACGATTGTTCGTTAGGCTTGGACGATCCTAATGCATATCTAAAAACAAATATTTAATGAGTTTACTATGTACATTATTATAAATAAATTGAGAAATGTAATTTACTTTCACATGCTTTTTTTCTTTATTTCGATTATTGACCAACAAAATGTTGACTTGTCTTCCATCTAATAAATCTTATATGAATTATTAATCGAATATATAAATACGCACATAAATAAATAATATAATTTATAAAAAAATATGCAATACCGATGTCTAGTATCGGAAAATGTCAAAAAATTACCTGTTGTCGGGCCTTCTTCGAACAGGAACATTATAAACTCTGTCTTTGCACCACAATACCAATGTCAATGGATTATTAGGATTTGAAGTTGATGGCCTCATTAGAAAATATCCGTCCGATGAATTACCATAAGTACATTCTGCAAATAATTAAAAGATATGTAATTAAATCTTTAAAACGTTGTTATGAACAATTTTTTTAATAATAATGAATCCTTACGTCTGATTCAAATCGTTTGACTACAATTAAATATAAAGGAAATAAACATTTCACTGCTTATTTATTAATTTGTTTTTTAATATCATATAGATGAGAAACAGGCATTTTTAATCAATTTGGAAAAATGTCAATTTTAAATATTATCGTGTTTATAAAATATTGTTAGTCATAATATTGATTGAAATATAAGTCAATATAATTTAAAGATAATTGCATAATGTAGATAATAAATTCTTTTATGTAAAAATAAGAAAATTAGAATTTTATTTTATCTTATTTTTTATTTTTATTTATTTATTTCTTTTGTTTACGGAGTAGGCAACAAAAACTTTCGTTCGATAGTATATTGTATTAAATTTAATCAATTATTGTATTAATTGTATTATTTTTAAATCAAATAAAAATAAATTCGATATGAAATTTTTTTTTTTGAATTTATAGCAAAAAGTTGTAATTTTAAATATAATTAAAATATACAAAATTTGTATGCTTTAATATTGTCTCCTCTGATGGTTCAGTAAAGTGTTCAATTTATCATAATTTAAATCTTTTCGTTACGATAAAGTAAATGGTTTTGATGAAACATCGTACACTAAGGTAAAAGTGTGTGTACGGTAACATCGCTTAATAACATTAAAATTGTATTTTAATTTAAGGGTTGGCCGATTCATAACGTAAACGTAAACTTCAGGCAGATTAGAAGTGATTATTGTATTAATCGATAGAAGTCTATACAATAAAATTAAAGACATTTTATATCAACGGCAATACAGCGAGGTACTTAAATTATTTGTACCCCTATTATTTCAGCTACTCACGCTCTTCTATAAGGAGATTGGCCTGCTCCCTGGTCAAATTATGAAACCAAGGTCTCTCGTAGTAGGATTGCTTGTCGGGGGGTGGTGGCAGTGGCCTCGCGGCATTACTCAACGAGCTTTTGCTTGCGGAGTGTGATGGTAGCGTTGCCGACTTCTTTTCCAGCGATCTTTCTGTAATCAAATTGACTCACGCTGTTCACTCTTGCCCTTGGACTTGGCTTTTAAAAATTTCTTTCGAAAGCATAGGCTGTTTTAATAAAAGTGAGACAAGCATGTGTCAACTAATCATATAATCGCTAAAAGAGAACAAATATTATTGCAATCCCGTGTAAACATATTATTATATAATGCAGTTGCATATATACTGTAAGATTAGCGAACAATTAGTAGATGGAGCTATTGGCTTCATCATTATCTATTTCTATCGTTATTTCGTTAAATATTCCACGAGGCAATTTTTTCGTTCTTTAAAATTGACCAACCTATGGATTTTTAATTTATTGATGTTAAAGTCTACGTATAATAATTCATATTAAATATTAAATAAGTTTCGAGTTTAAATTTTCCTTATATCTTTAAAGATTAATATAGTTATAAAAATGTATAGATTATATAGTTATAGTCTAATGTGATATTATTATTGTAAACAAAAAAACCCAATTCGAGTAAACATTATAATTGAATAGATATCATTATATTAAAAGCTATATATTAAGATTTCAATGCTTGGAAGCATTTGAGTAATGACTGTTTCATGAATCGTAATGTACTAGAAATTATTGAAAAAGTTTATTTTCTATATCCGCAAATCAAAATTCTCAAGTGAAATTTTTTTTAATAAATTAAAAATGAAAGCAGATACTATTACTTCAATTTTATAAAAATTTCTAATCTACCTAAGCGATCGATTTCTCTTCTTTATTCAATTAATTCGAATTCATACACATCTCATTAAAACAACTCCTTAGTGCCTTTTATCTCATGATAATAAAACTTTTTATCTGTAAAACAGACTTTTTCTTATATATTTTTATCTATTATGTAAAAATCGAGTTTATGTCTTTTATATAAAATTGAACTATTTTTCTATTATGCATTGATTATTAAAAAATTTTGATTCTGAGCTTAAAATACAGTAAATAAGCCACGATAATTATAATGAGTTTTTTCTTGAAAATTTGGATGTACATTTAATTTAGATACAATTATAAATATAATTGCTAGCGTTCGTTAAAAATGTACAAAAAGTACGCGTTTTGCAATTTGAAAGAAATTACATAGACGACAGTCACAAAGTAAAAGATATCGGGACCACTCGCATTATCGAATTTGGTGATATTCTAAACGAAACAGAACAATTTAAATGAACAAGAATCCAGGGTGCAGTAAAACTAATCACTATTAAAGCAAACAAACTGGCAAGATTGAGCCGCGCCTGAGTGAGGGTCTCCTGGGTGAGGGTCGTTTGGCGGCGCACGAGCGGCCGTTTGCTCTCGCCGATCAGACTCGCCATCCTCGCGCACAGCCCAACGAATGTCCCTACCGATTCCGTCGCAGACGAACTATTTCAAGCACTATGTAATCAGACGAGTAGAACACTTAGAACTGTTGACGTGAACTGGCGCGTTGTCGGAGACGACGCCGAGGAAAAGAGCGACGTCGCGTTGGTCTTACTCGGCATGGGGTTGAGCAGCATCCTGATTTTTGAATACTTTTAGAGAGCACTACGATGAGATTTATTCGTATTATCTCGCCCGTTTTATTATTTAAACATTAACATTAATATAAACGAAATAAAGTTTGCTTGAACCTAACATTGAAGAAGCTTTGTTTTAATTTAATCAATTGTTAAAATGACGCGAATCTTTAAGAATTGATAAATAATTTATTTTTTCGGATTGTAAATTTTAATGTGACTTAGTAAAACTAAAATTCCTAAAAATATATACCATATTTTATAATAAATTATTACATTATATTTAATTTATATAAAAGATAATAAACAACGCCGTGTGAAATAAGACTTAATTTTATCGAAAAAATTTGAACTAGAATTTATCAGATTGATATATACGGATATTGATGCATTAGAGAAATAAATAAATTTTCTTTGAATCCTTAGTTTGAAATCGACAAACTAGTAGGAGGGTAAATACTAAATTTGTTCACACAAACTGTATGAATATTTACACGACATGGAAATTACAATATATTATATTAGTAAACCAATTACTTATTCGTCACAAAGATAGAAATTTATAAATTTATTTATTTACACATTGATAGCTTAAACATTTTAGTTAGCATACAAAATAAATTTTTCAGAATATAAAAAATTCGACAAAACTTGAAAACTACAACTATTACAAACTACAAGTTATCGAAACTGTACAATAAATTTATTTCACGTGAAATTTTAATGTAAGAACTCCATGTTCTTTTAGAACTCATATTTTAATTGTTATTTTACATTTTGTCAATATATAAGTATTTGAAAGAATTCGTTTAGTAAAGTTTGATTTTTAAATGATATTAAAGAATATATATTAAATTATGAAAGTTATACGAAATAAATTAATAATTTCTATTGTCTAGATAATTCACTCGCACTTCATGTAATTATAATTAGATACAATTATGAAGATTAAACATTAAAAAATAGTAAATACTTATTATAAAAATTATTAATACCAAAATCTTTTTAGACATTAAAATACTCTATAATATTCTTATTCAAATTAAAATGTTTTCATTCATACTTTGAAGCTGATTTTCGAAAAATTCACATTTTTTATTTCGATTGTAAATCATACTCGACCAAAATTGCTTTTTTTTTTTTTTTTTTTTTTTTAATGTAAGAAGGTAAGAATCGCGATTTGGCACTGCAACGATACTGTCAATGCGACCGTAGTGTCAAGACTGAATCCAAACATCTATCGAATTATATATAGATTTGGGCGTACAGTGATGCACCATTTGTGATACACATGTTCTTAAGTGTAGTTTTCACTTATTTCTGTTACGTTCCTATTCTCCCATTATCATATTATATGCAGTGTCGCGTTCTCATTTATGAATTATTACAATTTATAGGAATTAACATTTTTTTTAATATAAAACAAGAGAAATATTCATAGACATCTCGTAACAATAAAAAAAAATGTCAATAAACATTTTTATAAAACATTTTGGAATATTTTATTTAAAATGGTTTTATTAAAAATGGCCTTCATAAATACCTATGTAAATAATATGGATAACGCAGATTTAGACTGTTAAAGTTTTTATTAAATTTTGCATTATTATATTTCTCATACTAAATGAACGTTTGACTGCCGAAATTTTTATAATTCATCAAAATTATTGTTATAATTAATGTAATGTACAAACCATTTTTTGTGTCTGTTTTATTTAAATGATTGTGTAGTGTCATAATATTTGGAGGCGGTTTTGTAGGTAGGGGTGGTGGATTCGTCATAATTTTTATATTAGTTCCATTTTTAAAATCATGTCCATTTTCTTCGGGCTAAAACATGAAAGTAAAAATATTTGTAAAGTGCAATTTGAAAAATGAAACAATGAAAAATGCATTTCTAGAATTTATTATGAACATCCATTTTTTTTTAATTAGCTATAAAAAAATTTTAACCTTCCATTTCCCAATTAAAACATGAAAGCAAAATCTTTAAAAAATAATAGTCATCCTATCCAACAAGTATGACGGCTTTTGGAATACAGCTAAAACAAAAGCTTACCGACTCCGTGATGGACTCATAAATTTCGTAAACCTCTTCATCGTGGCTGACACAAGTCGGTGGATGATAAACACTTTCTAATGAGTTTTGGGTAACGCTGGATAGCGACTGGCCACTATCAGCGTGTATTATTGAGTTGCGTTTATGCTGTTCTACTATTTGTTCATCAAAGGCCTCATATTCCTCTTCGTCTTCGCTTTCGTCGACTGGACCTCGTGGAAGGTTCGCCACGAGGTCGAAGCAGCGGATCATCGCCGGTGGCTTTGGCAAATTCTGCATCGTTTCGCCACCGACACTTTGGTTTTGCTCGCCCATACTCGGTAGCGTACTCGATCCTTAATTAAATGCCCATTATTTGTCCACTGCTGGCGATAATGAGATAATATTTTCTTTCCTTCCATTACATTATGTGTTTTCAACAAAGTGACAAGATGCGTGTTTTATTCAATAAACATTCAACGCTAGCTTTACATTAACATGGTGAATTTCGATTTCAGGAATTTATAAGTTGTAATTTTCAATTAATATAAAATATTAAAAAGTCGATAAAACTATTTACTTATCTATATTATAAAATTTGTTTTTTATTACCAACAATTGTACTTGAATTTCTAGATCTATATAATTTGTTAATTATAAAAAAAAAAAAAAAAAAAAAAAAAAAAAATCAATTTCAATATTATTATGTATAATTCATAAAATTCTTGTATTTATTTCTATAAAGTTAAGTATTCTTTATTAAATTTCAACCATCATTGTAATGGGCATATCATGGTAATTTTACAATATTCTCATATTAATGTAGTTAATGCCAGTCAACCTTGATATGCTCCTTTAAATATTTAATTTAACTTATAATTGCATAAGCCATTGGTAATTTTGATTGCCATTATTAATAAGGAAATTTGGTGCAGGTAAACTACTTTTTTTTTTCTTATTATTGTATTATTTGTATATATGAATTTTATTGGTCAATGAATTTGATTAATTAGCATACTTGATATTAAATTTCTTTTGTGTGTATATTTATATTAGCGCGATACTTAACTTTCTTTCCGACTAATTAAAGTTTCGCTTATCGATGCATTTAAAGATTTAAATTTAAAATATGCTTTATTTATAAAAATATTGTTATTAATTAAAATTCAAACAATATATTATATGCATATATGTTCAAGTTCTAAATTCTCAATAAAGGTTTAATTGAAATATCAATAATAAACAATCAATAAAATTCAATAAATTCTCAAACCCACTTGAAATTTTCGTTTTCACAAGAAATACTTCTTAGAGCAGCATGAGGTGAATAAGTAATCTTACTTTCAATATCTCTCGTTCCGTTAATTTTAGACTTGACACTTTTATGAAGGAACGAGGTTCTTGGTTCGCTCCTGCGTAAGCTTAGCTCGTCCTTAGTCCTTTTACAGAGAGCCTCGGGCTTAGGTACTATAGCTGGTTTAGCACCAATGAGCATTAGTTGCTCTTTGAGCTTTTCCGCAAGACTTTTCTGTTCAATGCTAATGCTGTCGATCTCATTCGTCGGATGAAATTTTGATGAATTCCTCGATGTTGTATTCGCATAACCAACATTTGCATACGTGCTTTCTTGTTCAATAGACATATTGTAATTCGCATAGGTACATTCCAAGGCTGGCGTTGCATTACTCTTTTCATTTAGATTGATCCTATTAACATAAGATGAACAATAAATATTAAAATTAATTTAGTAAATTACTGAAGAATCATTCCAATACCTAGATAATTAATGTCTTCATAATTTCTTGACTTATAGCAACTTATCAATTCTTATTATATTACATTATATTACATTATACTATATTATATAAGTAAAATACATAAAAGAAAACGAATACTGACGAGTAAGATGCTCCCCTCGCATGAGTTTCCATCATGATCCTGTCATTTTCTTGAAAAAGCTTCAAACTGCTCCGGAAGTCAGGATTTACTTCCGTAACTTCTCTTACTCTTGTCATACCGCAATCATCGTTATGATCATCCACATTATCTTCGAAATCCGTATCCCAAGAGCTGGTATCGCTCAGCGCTTCCGCATCCAACTGTTGAATGGGTTGTGATTGTAATTGCTTGTCCTCGACATAGTTTTCGGGATATTTTTTCAATTCCTCAACGAATGTCCACAGACTCCTAATAATTACACAAAATGTTTTCTTTTCTTTACATTATAATGCCATCCAAATAAAAATAATAATGTTCAACAAACTCGTTATGTTACTAGAATTCTAACAATGTGTACTTTCTGAGTTTAAAATTCCCGTTAAATTGCTGTACACTTAATTTTTGGGCGTCAATTTAAAAAAAAATCCTGATACCTATCATCTATAGAATATAATTTTGTAAGTATAATTAGAAAAGTACTTTTTTTAAAACATTAAATTATTTGTTTATTGGAATATAAATTATAGGTAAGCTTTTAAAAATCAACTGTCAGGTTATTCGAAAAACGGGCATATTAGTATATACGGCAAATTGATTTATTAGCAAATTAAAAGAAACAATCGGATAATTCATCTAGAAAACCTTGTAATTATTATTAGTTAAAATATTGCGTAAAAAATACAAAAATATCACATTACTCATTATATTAAGGATACATCTGCATAAATCTCGAAAATAAGAAAAGTTTTAGCCCTAATTAAATACAGGTAAATAGAATATTATAGCATACAGTATCTTTGAGCAAATTAATAAACATTATGCCTGTATGTGCACTTACATAAAAAATATGAATCGCCTTACCATATCAATGGCCTCGTGAGATCGCTCTTCCATAACGTCAGCTTACCCTCCGTCAAGTGCTACAATTAAAGCAAATTACTCAGTAAAGGCCTATGTAGAAGGACAGTATGCATAAGATAGGATGTCTGTACGAATATTTTAATGAAGCGTGAGGGAAATGAGCGAACAAGCGCGTCTACATGACAAAAAATACGAAATAACATATGATACGAATGTTGTTTGCCAATATGTATGTAGGTGCAATTTAATTCATTATAACACTTTTCAGCAGATTGCTGTAGTATGTATAATGTTCAGTCATAGCAGATTATTATTTTACTTTTAATCATTTTATTTTAAATTAATGTTCTGTAGTTTGAGTTAAGAATTAATGAAGTCACATGACAGTTTGTAGTGTTTTTCATTTACATTGAAATTTTTATCTAGTTTAACTTTACCTTTATAATACTGAATAATAGATATAGTGACAAATAACAAATATTTTATCAATTTTATTTAATGCAGATTTATTCACTAACAAAGGATTTCTTCGGATACAATTAGATTAATTGGTAATGTCATATAGAATTCAAGGCCATATAAAATTTTACCTATTTATAATCAATAATATTATTATCGGGTTGAATTATCAAAACAAATACTGATTGTATAATGCAAATATAGGTAATAAATAATTAATACTTACTAATAGCTCATCTCCGTCAATCTGACGTTTCTCGACTGCCTTCCAACACGCCTCTTCCACTCCATTCTACAAAGACACAATTAAATATATAAATAATAAATTTAGACAAATAATATCCCAACTATATAGTATAATAATAGTATAATAATAATGTAAAAATATACTGAATATTATATTTAATTTATTGTATTTACATAAATTATCCACGAATAGCTAATTTGAACTAGGTAAGTAGTTCAGTAAAGGATATTAAATCAGTTTAATGTAGATAAATAAATGATATATTTCATTATTATTTCTATATATTCAACTAATTAAATAAAAAAATATATTTTATAATTATATTTAGTATTATATTTTTCTAATACTATTTTATTTTGTAATTTGTGTAAGTTTTTGTGTTTATAAAGATTCTGTAAATTGCAAAACAATGTTCTATGTATACATATACATAGCAACACGAACACTATTGTGATAATATTAAATCTCTTTTTGTTCATAATACACTAAAAATGAAATATGCATGAACTTTTTGTTATATATAATCTTATTAATAATAATAATATAAAATTTAGTGTACTGATTACAGTTTTTAATATTGTACTATCTATGCAAATACACAATACGAGGCCTTAGAAAATTTTTATTTATTATAAATTGATGTGAATCTCATTTTTTTTTTATAATTATTATAAAATATTTATAAAGGAGTTTGTATATTTTTAGATATAATTTTATGAAAAAATGAAACAAAGCTGAAATTCTTTCATCTTACATTATTTATATTTGATAACAACTAACGAAATTATATCAATTTAAATAACTTGACTTATTTTAAAAAATACTAAAGAATATTATTTAATTTTTTCATTCATAATGTATAATATTCAAATTTTAAAGTTTATTTTGGAATAATAAATTTCTCTGCTACTATACAATAGTGTATTATAGGTGAATATATTTTGTTCATCTATTGAATGATTCCTGTTACTAAATATAATCTTCAAGATTCTGACAAAATTATAACACAGACATAAAAAGCATAACAAATAATTCAATTATTTAGGCTAACAATGGATGAAACGTGATTACAAAATCAAGAGAATGTGTCTCGCGACTATAGATAAGGAAATAATGCGCAGACACAATCTAAATTGCAATATAAGCCCTTTTCATGTTTTAGCGTTCTACGTCGATCTCAAATGGTAAGCTATATTATTATAATTGAAACCGAAGTTCAATTTCGTTACACAATACATAAATTTCAGCTAGGATAATTTATACTTCAATTGTAAGATAAAATAATATTTTAAATTCCAACTTCTTATATTATTAAATTAAAAGATTACTTTTCACATATTAATACAGTTCTCCAATTATCTAGCGTTTAAAAATAATGAATTTGACTATTTTTTTTAGAAAATATCAGCCTTTTGAGATTTATTTATCAACTTAACTCTTGAAAACAAAACATGTCAATTTTTAGTACAAAAATGTACTAATACATCCA